TATTGGAACTTAAGGTGAATTTGATTAACCATATTAACTCTGGACGGTTCAATATTACTGACGTAAGGAGCATCGCGCGGTCGCGTTGTCCTCTGTCAGTTTTCAATAAACCTACGACTAAGTTTCACAGAAAAATTCCTTGAAGGTACCGGTTTTCCCATATTTTTCAAGTTTTCTGAAATCAGGCAAGCAGGCATCGTGGCCCTCTTTCTTGCAGTACATTAGTTCGCCAGAAAGTCCTTTATTCTGTAGATAGCTGACACTGTAATACTGTCTGAGATAACGAAATACTTGCATGTACGGGATCCATCTGCCATTAGTTTTGATCTTCATAACACTCCCCATCTTCTCACTGTGAACATAAATAGTCACGATACCACCAACTTTCCATGCAATATTTGGAGGATAACAAAAAAATTCAATGGCTTCCTTGTGAGTATTAAAAGAAGTGAAGTTTTTCTTCTTAGCAAATTTGGCAAGTACTTCGTAAAAGGCATTTCTGTTTTTATAAAGCACAAACATATCGATGTCTCCTGAATCCCAGGGCAGTACACCTCGCATTTTGACTGCACCAACAGCAACCCCACCATCAATGCTGTACGGGATTCCTTCGGACTCTAAAAAGTCCGCTACTATAAATAAACAAGACTGTAAATTATTTACCATGAAGGGGTAAGCAAATGTTCCTTGATGTGCCCAATGTCCGCCGTCCAGCATCACTTTGTGGGCTGTGGGCTCATCACAAATGTCTTCACCAAGTATAGGACTGTCGCGACTGCACAGGTCAAGTGTTTCAGAATCGGAATTTTTAAAACGAAACACTTTATGTTTATGGGCAAAAGGAAGGTGTTTTAGGAAATAGTCACGCGCGTTGATAGTCATATTAGAGTTACACTTGCTGTCTTGGCAGACTTTGTGGATTGCCTCTGGACGTACACCACTCAGCGCACCTCCTTTCTTAACTTGAATGAAGAAATCGGTAGTTGCTAACGCTGTCATCTTGTCATCAAAAGCATGTGCTTTATCAACGAATAAACGCTTAATACTAGCCGTTCTTCCCATAAATGAAGCACCGATGTTCTCACAGATCATAAGTTCACCGATGGACCGTTGATATTCATATCTCTGAGATAAGGTCCAGTTACACAATATCAAACGGTAACATGGGATTTCAAGATGGTCACCAGTCAAAATAGACCCACTCACAAAGTCTAGCTCGGGAATGCTTTCCAGTGCATGTAACAACCAACCAGAGCTGTGGTCGGATGTATGAGGAAACAATCCATGCTGGCAATCTAAAAACAAGAAATACTTCGTACGAACCTTTTGAATGAGCGAATTGAATGTCGATCCAACAGTAGAACTATTGAGTGAGAATAGTATTTCAATATTTGGAAACGAACGAAGAAGAGCTTGCTGCCTGACTTCAACGCATGAAGAGGGTACGTTGTTGTTTCCTTTGTATAGTATGATAGTCACAAATCTAGCAAACAGCTCGATGTTATTGGCCAAGTCGTGTTTCTCAGGTCGTGGAAGGGACACTGTTCCTCGTTTGGCATACTTTTCGTTTGTGGTTTCAATGTTTTTGTTTGTCGTGTTTATCGATTCTTTACTTAATATTTCCATATCCAGTCGTTCTTGAAGACGCTTCAGCTTCTGTTGTAAGCCCTGAATCACATGAATTTTGTCATTGCAATTACACTGAGATACAGGTATCAAGGAAGAACTTTTCTTGACACTAATACTCCTGAAATTCGCTATATTCAAGAGAATATACACGATACACAGCTGAGAAAGAAGAATGAATGCTAGCGCTATGATCACTAGTCTAGAACACTGGAGTGCCATCTTTCTTTCTTTTCCAGTTAAAGTGCCACCATAGATTCCGTATATTACTGAATTTATGCCCTTTTAACTTTTCACTAGATGTTTTATCACCTCACCTATGGCTAGCCTCCTCAGCAACCGTTCGTCAAATCGGTCCGAAAGCGAATCAAACTACCTTTGTGCCCTTTTTGTCGCATTTTGTTGACATACATAATTTAACAGATGTCAAAGTAACACGCATGGGTTGGTAGCAAAGTAGCCTCACCTAGTTTCGAATCTAGCCATTAGCCTAAAAGAAAATACGGCTGTCAGTCTCTTTAGTTAATGAAATTGAAATATACATGAATTTGTCGTTAAATACTACGCGGTAATGAAGCTGAATCCCCCCCGGGGATTTGGTAGAATTCATGTGTTTACTGGAGTGCCATTGACAGCTTGCTAGGACGTTAAATGTTTACATGCATGTCTCAAGACAGTCATGGTAATAATTCATCAAAAACCGKTTCAATAGTTTAAAAACCGGCTAAAAAATTCATAGAGCATTTGGTATCTCAGAGTAGGAGATAAATCTTTTGCATTGGAGAAGAAATCTAGCTAAAGCCACCGACGACGGGGTGCATTTGTCCTGACCCCAGATTGTGTGACATGGTTTTAAGCTCAAGCTGCGCTC